GAGCTTGCCCCCAATGCTTGAAGATATCTTGAAGATGTTTCAGCATCTATTGTAGATAATGATTCAAGTGGTTGAACAAGCGGATCAATATCGTTTGTGTCACTGTGATGAGAAGCAGCCTGTGCCCTAGACGATGATGCTGGAGGATCACTTGTCATCCCCAAACTTGCCCCAATGGCCATCGAAAGTTGATAGTCATTATCAGATGCATCACGCTGAAATGTTCGACCCCTTCCACGAAGATTATCTTCATTACTTCGCCGATACCGAAAACTTGTTGGAATCTAGCAAAAGTACAATTAATTAACAAAAGAACTAAGTAACCAACTCATCTACAAATGGAAGCATATCAGAGAATGACTTGGGAAGAACCAAGCTTATGTTAAGTCTATTATTTAGAAGGGTGATACATACTTGTAAAGCAGCACTACGTTGTGCTCGAGACATGCGGCCTCCATGTTCAATGGTATTATGCCTCTGAAAGGGTAAGAACGAAAAAAATAAGAACTTTAAGTGAACCAAAAAAAAATTGAGCTATACTAAGTACATACTCAAATAATGAGAGAAAAAATATATATTCCCGAGGCATCACCTTTAGTTCAGCTTCAGACTGTAAGACAATAAACTTTTTGGCAAGGCAAGCCTCATCCTCACAAAGGTAATGGTCTCGGCGGAAATGAAGCTGTGGCAAACAATTTTTGAAATTTCATTAAACTTTACAAGGAAAAGAAAATAAAAGAATAACAGAAGAAACTTATAAGTCATCTTGCCTCAAGGTCATCATAATTCTTGTAATATTCATATTGTCCCGGATGCTGCCTGCATTGGACAATAAAAATTGAATCATCCAAAAAAACAAGTTCACTAGTTAAGTTGTAAAATCTATACTAGAAATAGCCTCACTACCTTTGGCATATATGACATGTATAGTGCTCTGTAGACATGTGCGAGTATAACTCATTATCTCCATAAAATGGCTTCTTGCAGAATTCACACATTGGATGCCCCATGAAGCCACCTCTCTCACTCTCAGTTCCATCCACCTCAGAGTCACCTGTGTTTATATGCTGATTTAACTGTGCTCTAGTATACAGCTTTTGTTCGCAGATAAAAACCTACATCAATAAATGCACACCTTATGTTAATAGAAAAACAATCAATTCATCAAAAAAAGAACCATGCTACACCATAGTCACATTTTCATTAAAACTGTTACATATTAACCTCACCTTCCGGCCTTCCAAACACAGGCTACACATAACCAATTTATGTCGATGAAACAAATGACCTTTCAGCTGTTCAATATTCCGAAACTTCCCTCGCCTCTTCGCCTCATCATTTGGCTGCTCTTCCATCTTGTCACATACACTGCATGAAAGCTTGCACATTGCCTTGATCATTCTGTAGTGATCAACGTCATCAAAAAAGGCTTGTGTATCCTCATGGTACCAATAGGAAATAACCCGTCCTTCTCTTGCATCAGATGGCAACACTGAGAAATCATTTATCATCCTAGTATAATCCCCTAAAGCCTGGAACAGAACCACGGCGCTAATAAAGATTCAAACTTGAGGATACATTTTATAGGATAAGTTAAAGCACAAGAACCCGAACTCAGCTTAGTGATTTCCATCAGCTGATAAAGATTCGATTTTTTTTACCTAATTAGTAAATCAGAGAAAACCAAGAACGCTAATTCAAAATTGAGATCGGGAACAATCCGAGAAAGAGGGAGAGACCTAACCTTAGTGACTAAGACGACGTTGGATTCAGTTTTGCAGATGCAGCAGCGGCGATCGTTGCAGATGAAGCGGAGACGTGAGACGCACGTGGAGCAAACGTCCCGATGACCACAAGCGCCGTAGGCAACCCATTCTAAATTGTCAGCGCAAACTGCACAGCTGTCGTCCATTTCCGTTTCTTGATAATATTCTCGGAAACCCTAATTGCTCTACCGATCGAATGGAAATTGATTCAACTAAACAAAAAGAAACACAAAAGGAAGATATAGGATTTATTTTTGCAGAGAAAAAACTAATTCAGAATTTTAGGCAATATATCAGATTCAATAGTTCTTTTTTGTGCGAATTAGTCGATTACATGATATTCGGATGGCAGCTGGCGGCGCAAGGATCACCCACCGGTGGTGAGCGATGGATGGCGATAATAAAATTCTTTGGAAGAGATACGTTGATAGATGAAATGAATATTCTTTCTTTTTTGCTACTTAGGGCTTTAGACCAATACACTTAGCGAGTATCAAATTACTTATAAGTTTTTGTACTATTGAAATTAGAGAGTTGAAATTAAGATAAAATCAAATATAAAAAATAAATTAATTTAATCTAAGATAATCATTTTAATTTTTTTTATAAATATCATCCAATTTTATTAAAAATAGAAAATATCTAGAATTACAATTAAGATTTATAATTATAATGATAAACGTAAACTAAATTATAATTATGACATTTTCCTATAACTATAGACACAAAAACTAGTCACCTAAATTACACAATGACCATAAAAGAAAAATGTTAAAAAAAACCTAACCAATGCTTGAACAAAATAAAAATACTAATAAATCTTATTAGTATAGGTAAACGAACTATAAAAAGGGGATGAAGCTATTGAAAGATACTGAAAAAATCGTAAATCAGAGCCAAGCGACGTGAGAAAACTATCAACGAGCGTAAAATGTGTATCCAAATCAATCTGATGATCAAAAACATGGAAGATCAGCATGATAACAAATAAGCACCATCTTAATCAGTCGCGACGGTATCAAATCCAACCCTAAAAAAATAAACGAAAACAACAGTCAAACGATAAAAAATCACCAAAAATCATAGAAAAACGTACTACAAAGACAGAGATAAATATGTCAAAAAGATAGAATTATTTTTATTAATAAACTAAAAAAATAAAAAATAAATAAAGAGAGATAAAAGACAACCGGTGATCAACAATCAGTATTAAAATCGATATTATCGTATGCTAAATAAATCAAAAAAGAAAATATTGATTTAATCTATAAAAATTGATACAAGTTGTATTGAAAAAAAAAATAGGGAAAGAGAGGGGAAAGGAAAGAGCGGCTAAGGTTTTAGTTTTTAGGATTAGACCTATAGTAAACATATCATATTAGTTTATTTTATATATTTCTTTTCCAATAATATGAAATGTTAATGATATAATATTTATTTAATTTATTAATGATGTACATATTTTATACAAACACATATGCTCAAATTCAATTTCTCTAAAGAGAAATTTTTTATTTTTTACTATTAATATCATTAAAAATGTATGTAATTGTATGAAACAAATTAACTTAGTGGTTAAAACTTAAAAAGATTGTTATTATCCTTTGAGTTTTCGTGTTTAAACGAGGTTTGCACGAGTATATAAGTCTAATATCAAATAGTTGAGAGTCTTTCAAATAAATATTATATTATATTCACCCGTACCAATAAAAAATATAATTTTATTAAATAAAAAACTTATATCAAATTAAATATATATAAATATTACATTGAATTCACGCACCAATAAAAATATAATTTTATTAAATAAAAAATTATATCAAATTAAATATATATATATTAAAATTAAAATAAACTTCAAAAGAAAAAAATATCACCAAACACTAAATTCTGACAAACAAAATTTAATGTTTAATCAAGACTAAGGCAATAAAAAAACTCAGTACATTTACGGATGGATATGACATTCGAACTCGACGAGTTTCGATCCAATAAGGCCTTTTTTATAATAAAAAATTTTGAGTTTGGGTCAGGTCAGATCAATTTTTTAGAAAAAATGTTCGAGTCAAGTAGGATTTGAGTTTAGGGTGAAAAATATTTGACCCGACTAAACATGAAAAATAATGTAAATTTATCTTATATATTTAGGGATATTACAATAATAACCCTTTTATATATTTTTTCAATTAGATCCCTATTTTTATTTAATAAAAATAATATTTTTATAAATATATTTATTTCGAGCATGATCGGGTCGAGTTTGAGTTTAATCTCAAAAAATCGAATAGGATTAGATAAGATGAAATTACTCTTAAACTCAAATCAGTTTCGGGTGAAAGGTTTATAGGTTTAGGCCAGTTGAAAAATCCAACTCAACCCATACTCATCCCTAATTACATCCATAAATACATCTTTTGCAATTCTTTTTCTTAATCACTTTTAAGAAAAATAAGATTTAAAAATAAAATAAAATAAAATAAGGGGTAAACTATATAGTTCTTCACTGAACTTTACTCTCTCTATTTTGCTCACATTACTTTCAATTTTTCTATTTTACTAAGTGAATTTTACAGATTAAATCATTTTGTTCACTTTTCTGTTAAATTTTTAACAGTGTTATGACATGATACTAACATAAAAACTATGTCGTTTTGAAAAACTCAAATATACACAAAAACGACGTCATTTCAGATACTCTTCTTTCTCCCATGGCTTTCGCCAACCACCACCACGTCATTTTTTATTCTGCCCATTGTCAACTGTCGTTGACGGTGGTCGTTTGATCTCAAAATTCATGGGTCGGTTCATCTTGACCTTTTGAGTTCGATTCTAGTGACTGTTTCACCTGAAAATGTCCTAAAATTCGTGAATCTCGACTAAAACGTTTCGGCTTCCTCACTTACAATCTTTGATTCGTGGACTTCAGAGCAAGTTCCGACAAAATAGAGGTTGGATTTGGACTCATGGTTTCGAGGCGAAACGACCCATTAATTTGGGACCGAACGACCATTATTTACGACAGTCAACACTGACCGACGATGGCATTCAACCACCTTATGTTTTTATTTTATAGTTGAATGAGCAAAATAAAAAAAATAAAGTTCAATTAGGAACGATGAAATTTACCATTTATTTTTTTTAATTATTTTTTATAAATAATAAAAAATGACAAGTCATCACACCATTAGATAACTAACGACAAAGTGAATAAAATGATTCAATTATTTTATATTTTCAATTATGCTGGCGAAACTCAGGCTCTGCAATGAGAGGTGAAGAAGAACCCTTGGGGAACTTCATGTCCCAATCCCCTAAGGCTCGGGAAACCGGTAAAACTCCGTTAAGATGTCCATTATCAATAAACCCACCAAGCTCTTCTACTCTCATCCGTTTTGATGGATAAATAGGTCTGTGGTCCTCAGACATATCTATTGCCTCCCCTTTTCGACATAGAACTGCTCGGCAATCACCAGCATTGGCTACCATTAGAAGCCTAAAGCACAGACAAGACGTCAGACAAAGAATTAAACTTTAACACATCACTCAAGAATAATCAAAGTGAAAAAGAAGGCAATCAACGCTATGACGCATAGAGATACCTTCCAAATATAAGAGCAGTGAGTGCTGTTGTTCCATAAGAGCTATTCACAGTAAAATCATCCGCAAGAGCAAGGTCAGCAAGAAGAAATGATTTCCGGGACGAGTTCTCTACCAGGGATTCAAATCGCGGTCGCGTTGTCGGTCATATCGTGTTTACCGCGATTGTAGCCATTGCGGGCATCATTGTGAGTATAGCGGGTATATCGAAAGGCAGCGCTACCGCTATTTCGCGGGTGCTATGCTGTCGCGAACCGCTATTTAAAACCCTGTTCTCGACCCCTTCCAAGAAATCATTATCAACTTCACATGACGGGAAAATTGACATCCTCAAAAAATAATCAAAGGGCGTTTCTCCTCAGATAGGCTGCTGCCTCAGAACCTCCATGACCATCAAACACCTGGATACAAAGCGAAACGAACATTAGTTGTACAACAGAATCAAATTAAAGGCAGCAGCAACAACAGCTAGAACAGTAATTACCCCATAACACAGAAAAATCAATGGATCCCACTGATACAAGCGATGAACATATTTACCTCTGAAACTCATACATGAACAGAAATAAAATAGTTAATCATCTCAGCCATATCCCAATAAAATAAAATCCAACATATTTATACTTCATTAAGAAACTTAGACGCGAGTCAACGGCCATCAAAATTCAGCTCTTAACAAACATATATTCAAGTTTAAGAATATAATATATATTTTTAATTAAATGATTTATTAGAAGGGAAGGTTTTGAGGAAATTTCTTCCAAACTTCAACTGTCAGTCAGTCTCCTTAGTTTTGGACAAGTGTAAAGCTTTAATTATCATTAGGAAAGGTTCATTATCATGAAATTGATAAAATACAAATATAAATGACCTTTCTCTACCAGGTTATAGAAATAGTAATGTCAGATTGACTCATAATAACGAATTTTGATTTGTTACTCAAATAGATCTAAAATTTAAGAAGATAGATAATATCATAAAAAAAATTTGTTAAATAAAGATCACATATTTTTTACACGACTTAAATCATTAAACAGCCATGCACATTTTAAACCACCAAACATGATTACAGATAACCCCTCTATACTTTAAACTATTAGATAATCTGCAACGTATTGTTTCTTTGTACAACTATCTGTTAAGAGACGTTTGGTTCACGAAAAATATCATTATCAACGGAAATGATTTTTTTTCGTAGTTGTATTCTCGTGTTTGATTAACGAAAAAGATTATTACTAGGTAATAACTTATTACCAATAGAAGCATTTTTAGGTTAAAATGGTAGGTATGTCATTACCTTCAAATTCTTAGGTAATGAATAATTCTCATCGCTTTGAACATAAATACCCCTGAAATAATAAATTTTTTCATATGATCATTCTCAATTCTTATTCTTCGTGCTTTAGTTAAAATTATAAATTTAATAATAATAATATACAAAGAGTTTAATTTAATAAAATATTAATAAATTTGAGAATTAAAATTATTTTATATTTTTAATATTTAGCATATTAATTATTTTATAATTTTATGAGGTAAAAACATTATTATTATTATAAAACTGTAATTATTTAAAATAATATTTAATTTTGAGTTATTAAAAAATAAATCTTATACATTAAAAAAGTAACATATTTATTCACTTGAGATCAATATATTATTTTCATATTATATTATATTTTATATAAATAAGTATGATACTTATGAAAGTTATTTAAAATTATAAGTTTGATATACTAATTAATTAATTACATGTTAAATGTATTTTTTTAAAACTTAAACAATGTAATAATTAAAATATTTTTATAATTTTTCATTCAAATATTTATAATTTAATATTTAAAGTTTTAGTTGTTAAAAAAAGCACATCACAAGGATAATTTGGTAAAATGTATATTCAAGTAATCTTATATTCTTCAAACCAAACACTATAATCTTACATTCATGCTAAACAAATCAAATAGGGTAATACAAAATTCCCAGATTAATGTTACATTCCGCTAATATTCTTCCTAAAGGTAAGCTTACATTACGTGAACTAAACGCACTCTTAAGTATAAAATTTGAAGGAAACATCGTCTTCTTCCTTGAATCTTCTTTATTGAACTTAATTTCTTGAAGTATTGCTATTCATATGAAAGTATTGTAGGCATGGATGGATGGAGGGGTGTTGGAGTAAGGTCGCAACTTTTAGAAATTTTAAGTTTATTACATTTTAGATTTTTTATATTTTTTATTGAAGATCTAATTTTACACTTTCTACAATTTTATAACTACACACTTTAATACAAATTTTAATAAAACTTTTTAAATTCGCACATCTGATTTAAATTCTCGCGTCCTTGCATTTTGGCTTAAGAAGTCCACAGCTTTTCAAACCTTGATTTAAAACCAAGTCCAAGTCCATAGTACTTTGAATTGGGTTTTGGGTAAATATACCTTTTAGTACCTAATTTTGTATATATTACAATATGGTATCATACCTTTTTCGTACAATCAGGCATTTAACTTTTTAATGGTATAATTAGGTATCCTACTTTTTCCAATAGTTTAATTAGGTACTTTACTTTTCACATATGGTTATACATAGAATTTTAGCGTACAACTTTTAAGTATATAGCGCAATATCTTTTTTAACTAAATAACGTTAAACTATATAAGAAATTGATCATACATTCTTTGACATAACTACATGGTCTAACAATGGAGGCAAAGCAGGTAAAAAGCAACCATCAAAATGTATGAAAATTGTTGTAATGATTGAATCCAAACATTCAGGCATGTTGCTTGAATAGGCGTTGGATCGACCATGCTCATGGATTTTCAATTTATTCTTATTTTCAATTATTATAAATGTTTGGGTAAACTTCTTTGGGGATCATTAAACTATAGACTCAATTCTGTTTTGATCACTGAACAAAAAATATCAATTAGGTCACTCAACTTTCAATTTGATTTAAGTGAAGCCACCAACCGTTAATTTTTAACAGAATTACTGATGTTATAGTTAAACAAATTTGTATAATAACACATTCAATCCTCGTTACTTATATATTCTATCAATTTGCTCCAAACATGTTATTATAAAAATTTGCTTAACTATAACATCAACAATCCTTCTAAAAATTAATGGTTTGTGTCTTGATTAAAACAATTAATAACCTAAATGTTAAAAAATTTTGTTTAGTGATCAAAATAAAATCATCCCTGTAATACTTTAATTTTGTCCTAAAAATAAATAGAGAACAAAACCAGAGACCAAACTTGTAATATTATCTTTTCTATTGGTGGGGGCTTTAGCACTCTGGTCACTTATTTATTTATTTATTTTGAATATACATGATGCTTTTGCTTTATTTTAATTTGGTCACTATTTTGATATGTTATTTATTTCAAGTTAACTACTAAATTTTATTTTATTTCACTCTAATCATTGTTTATTTATTTATTTACTTATTGTTTCTAATATTCGATTTGACCTTGTGGTGACCAGATCCGGGGTATGATCCACATTATTATGGTTCAGACTCTGCTAACTACTGACTTTTATTTTATTGCACTCTAACCATTGTTTATTTATTTATTTATTTACTTATTATTTCTAATATTTGAACCGACCTTGTGGTGACTCGATCCAGGGTATGATCTACATTATAATGGTTCAAACTCTACTAACTACAACTTTTTTATATTTATTTTATTTTATTAATTTGTTTGAATTATTCAATTCGACCTTGTGGTGACCAGATCCAGGTATGATCCACATTATTATAGTTCATACTCTGGTAATCGCTAACTTTTCTAACTGCTAACTTTTCTAACAACTAACTTTTCTAACCGCTGATTACTAACTATTAACATTTTATTTTTATTGGTTTCGAATGATTGTACAAAATGTTTGTTTCATTCATTTTTAACGCTTTTTTACTCTAATATTTTCAAGAACACTTATTTGTAGAATGGGATTGGAAAGCATTGGTTGGTCAAAGTAGTACGATCCGATACGACATTCGACCGAAATATGAACTTGAAATAAATCAGATTTATTTTAAAAAAATAATAATAATCAATGCATTTTTATTCAAATGATGCAAGGCATGTTTCTCTAAATATCAATTTATTTTATTTTATGTAAATGTAAATATTTAATTTATATTTGATTTGCGTTTTTTGATAAACCGAAGAGGACATTCTTTTTAGGCAAGAAATAGAAGAGATAACCTTCCCGTCGGAGGATGAGAAAATCTCGATATTTCTTTTCAAATAAAAGGATTTTCCATAATAATTAATTCGAAGCAAATTAATTAAACTTTAATAAATAAATCATTTTCTAACTTTATATTCGATTTATAATTTTTACTATCGCGACAATATGTAAGCGACTAGGTACCAATTTTAGGCGTTGTGGGGGGTGCTTATCCTTCCCCACTCGTAACCGACTCCTGGACCCGTTTAGTCGAGTTTTTGGTAAACGCAGACCAATTTTTGTCTTAAAAACGATTTTCCTTAAAATTATTTTAAAAGATGTTTTTAGGTATTCGACCTACCTAACCCAAAGGTTGATGGCGACTCCTATTCAAATTAATTCAAATTAATTCAAAATCATCAAGTTTTCAAAATATAGTCATAATTATTTTTAAACTAAATTGTTCTAAAAAAATGATTATGACAGTTTGACGACTCTACTGGGGAGTTTTTTTAGAGAGTCAGGCTATAGGTCGCTTACATATTGTCGTTGTGGTGGAAATTATAAGTTCGAGTCTATAGTTAGCTTATTATCTATTTGTTAAATTTTTAATTTCTGTATTTTTATCTCCCTAACGTTTTATTTATGTTTTCAATTTTGTCAAGGTTTATGTCAAGTTCTTTCGTTTCTGTATGAGTTAAAGGTTTGTATGTTCCTCCTCACACACATCACGTGCATCTGCATGACATGAGCTCTAGACCCGAGTTTTGTTCCAAGTAAGTCGGGGTGAATGCTTAACTCTCGTAAGAATTTATTCTTCGTATGAGTTTTAGCAAATAACTCTTGAGATACACATGCATTATACCTTCATAGGGATTTATTCCTCGTATGGGTATAAGGAAGAGAATCCATTGAACTCATTTTGTTCGACACCTGTAATGGGTTAGGATCGAGGATTTGGTAGCCCAAGGGGACACTGATATTAAGGACAATTCGAGTACCCTTTCCCATAGAGCTGAAACCATGCATATAGTGAACCGTAGAACGATAACCCTAGGCATAACCATATCGAACCCTCTGCCGTCAGTAGGTGTAAAAATAAGTGTACATAAAGAATGAGCATTTTTGAACCTTTACCTTTTGATTTAAACTTTTTTGAATAAAAGCATGCGAACTAGATACCATGCAGTTAGGATCAATTTCTTGAAAATAAATCATTTTGGGTAGAAAACATGTTCGGTAGGATTGCTATCTAATGAAAGCATGCTCGGGTAGATACCATGATTG